GAGGTGTTTGGTGGGTTGGAACGTGTGATAAAAGGTGAATGAATCACTTTCAGGCCTCTGAAGAAGGCGTCGTGCCGAAACGTTGGGCTTCGAAATAAAGTGTTTCACTAACAACCTGTAACGCCATAAAAAAGAACAAGATAAACTAAATAATCAAGTTTCAAGATAAGAGGACATATGGACTGCATCATAATTATAGTTATTCTCTGTTATAATTATATTAATTGAGGACCTTACAAATTGTATTTAGTGAGCAACAAAATCGAAATTAAAGTACCACTAAAGCCCTTAGCTTGAGAGCTTTTTAAAGGGGATTTTATATTATACCAATGCACGGTAAATCTAGAACATTTCCTTTTGAGATTTTATTTATGCTGCAGTGAAAACTAACTTCTCGCAACGTACTAACAAATCACGACGTTGTTCATTTCTCTCATGTGTTTATCACGCATGCGATCCTATAACTAAGAAAATGCATCTCAGTTGTGTTGCACTTACTATAACGGTTCCCGAGAACTAATCAACTCTGTCGACTTCCAAGACATGTTTTTATTCCAATAGAAGTCTATATAGCGATCTCGAGATCGACCTCCTAGCTGAGCTACTTCCCAAAACTGATTGACAATCGTAGTGGTGTGCGAAAAAATGGACGACTGCGATGCAGCGTTCACATTCGGTCGCCATGCTCACCCAATGAGTTCTCTCCATCGATGGCCATGTCTGGCCTCTCTTGTCAGCAATCTCCAGAAAACAGACGAATGGCACAGTATGAGAGGAAATCGCACTGCTTCAATTCCCATTCGCCTAGACACTTCAATCATGCTCGACCTAATATTTTTATATTGATGAAACCTGATCCGTCAATATTTATAGAACAAAACAATGATCACAGCATAAATAAAAGGAAAATTCAATTTCATTTCCATAAATTGGTCCCAAACCTTACACAACATCATTTAATAAAACAGATATACCAAGAAAGATTTTAGAAAGAGGTTTTAGTATTAGTGAATCACATTCAGAAAAAATCATGACTTTTGGCACAATTGAACACAGACGAGTTAAGTATATGCATATTTATATAATATAAAAGAATCACTACAGTATGAACCACTATGGCATCTTTAGCAAGGCCTCGTAGTCCACGTCCCCATCAGCAGTAAGAGGTATATCATCGACTTTTACGTTATTTAATCCCATTTTGCCCATCGCCATTTGAGCGAATCCAAGTTTGCTTTGATCAAAATTGGTCACTCCACTGAAAGATGAGAATTACTTATGAAACCATCAACCAGGATAAGAAAAAGGGAAGATAACAATGGGATGGCGGAACAAAAACTGCATGCAACTATAAAGTATAGCTCTAATTTGAAGAATCACATATATAGGGCGATTAAGAAGATGAACAAAAGGCAAACCATAACCAATATAGAAGTAAAGCTTTCAACAGGTTGATATAAAACTGGAGAAGAGCAAACGAGCTTTCTACTTCCAATTTCCAATACAATCATCTGATCTTAACATTTTTCATGACAGCGTCGCGTTAAATTTCCCATTTACAGATGGAAAATTCCATGCAAATATGACTTGGAAAAAATAATGATAGGCAGTACCATAAGGGCACCAAATACACTTATAACAAAAAATTAAACATTATGAAATCGTGACCATACTTTCTTGCGCTCTTAAAAAAGAAAAAAAGAAAAATGAAAAAGCTACACAACAGATTCTCGAATTAAAAAGTGATTAAATAAGCATTCTAGCCATGGGGAAATAGGACAGGTTTACCACTCATTTACTACTCACATCACTACTACCACCCAAACCCACCAACACAACTTTAGGCTTCTTCGGTGAGATCTGCGAGCTAAACTTCATGATTAGATAAGCTGAACTGACACATACAGTAGCTACACGAAGCTAGTTAATTTCGAAATCCTAAAGATTTTAACAAATAGCCCTGCATACTAACCTGGTAAGCCACCACATAATCAGTGGTTGTGATACGAGAAGGAACAGAATCAAAAACAGTTTCCTTTTTCGGCCCTCTTCACCACCAAAGTGATGCGAATCAAAGATGAAGTTTTTCACAGTACGAAGCTGAAACAAGAAAGGTAAAACATAAGGCCAAGGTTAAAACGCTATAGTATATAGTTAACACCACTTAAATTACGGAAAGAGATTCTAGAAAAAAACGCTTGATGCCACTTAGAGGGGAAAAAGCAATTTTGACGAAAAAGAATATGAACTTTGAGCTTGAAACATGTAAAAATTCAACGACATTTTTCATTGGAGCGATAATAAATAAAATTGCTTAGTTTTTGTCAAAATTCAAAGCCCACTCACTAAGAAGAAAACAAGAGCAAGAGAAGTGTATCCAAGAGCGCACCAGTAGAAGGTCTTTCCTCCCGCCATAAACATTAACAAGCAGATAATCATCCTAAACATGCCGTAACTAGAAAGTATGTAAAGATATGATCAAAAAAAGATTCAAGGCAGATACTAAAATTGAACAACCAATTTACTTACCCAAAAAACTTATAGGTACTGTACGCCAATGAATGCCAAAGCGATAAACTCTGAAAGGTTAAAATTGACTCATATCAAAAGATAGATCGCACCGCCTGCATATCAAAAGATAGATTGCACCGCCTGCCTCTCTTACCTGTGAAATGTTCAGAACATATTTGCTGACGAAAATAATGATGTTTTCAATGATAACCCAAATGAATGCATTGCTTGTGAGAATGCCAAGTATTTCTGGAGAAAATCTGAAAACGCAATCAGGAGGCATAAGAAAAGTTGGAGAGAATGAAGATTCACCACCCACCGTCCCTGTGTCCCTAATACAAAACCAGAAACAATAATATAAGTGATAAAAGCCATTAAAGGGATGTAGAGATCAGGCGCGTTTACATCATCTTTTGCTGGTACTGGATCTTCTGATCCCCCGTATTTCAACGACCAATCCTAAACAAATAGACCAAATAAAATCAAGAATATTGAGCAAAATATGGAAGCAAAATTGATTGGTTAAAAACTAACAGTATGGAGGAAAGGAAAAAGCAATATTCCAAGCTTTTTTCCAACATATGAGTTGTCGACAGTGAAATAATACTTGAGGTTTAGAGCGCTCCAGTATTTAGACAGCTAAATATAAGATGATAATTGAAAAATAGGTTACAAAAAGATCTAAAATATTATGGAGTGAATATCATCAAACAAACCTTCTCTTTTTGCTGTTCGGCAAATTGACCTCCGAACTGCTGCGCAGCTTGGAACATAGGGTCAGCCATGAAAGCTGGAGGATTGAAGCCAAAACCTAAACTCTTACACTTCAAGATTCTTGGATTCGTGGGTCAAATTGAGACTGAATTTTAAACGACTTTTCGAATACATGTAGATTTGTAAACTACATTGCTACACAATATGAGCCTTCATACAAAGTAGACATGCTTATTCCGAGCTATCTCAAATAAGCTTTAGGCAAATTTCCATTAGAACAAATGAAGAAATCAATCAGTGAGACCTTACCAGCGTTCGCATTCGTGCTCTGCTGACCATAATACTCCCCGTAATTTTGCTGTGGTGGCATCATTGGTTGACTTTGCGCATGTTGCTGATAATAATTTGATCCACTGTCATATCCTCTATAAAAGTCCATTTTAAGAATTGAATTTACCCATATAAGTGTTTGTAAGTGTACAGAGAGAAACACACAGAAACAAAGCCTCAAAATTTTTTTCAAAAAGTGAATTATCAGTGTAGCAAAGGCAATTAGAGCAACTCACCCGTATGATTGATACTGTGGAGGTTGTTGATGCTGTTGCTGAGACTGACGCCTATCCATCGGAGTAGGGTCTGCCCAATCATTGCCCCAATCGTTTGACATTCTGCAAGAAAAGCCTAAACGACAAGCAAAACCAAGCGTTTAAAATACTACTTAGAGTGCAAACTGGTGAATATGACGAAGTTCTAAGCTAGATCTTGAGTAGGTGAAAAAGTCGAAATCAGTTCAAAAACGACAAGGAATAAAAACATGCACAACAGAGGGAATTGAAGAGTTTGACGACGCCGTACTCCTTCTTTAATAAAGTGTCTTCCTTAGACCGAAACGAGATTCGATCGAGCTAATCAGCTGAAGACAGAACCTGACCAGTTAGTTAGCGCTTTCAATCTTTTTTTAAAACAATCATTGTTTCTGTCAAATGCAGTGATCCCTCACTACAAACGAGCTTTTACTGAGAGATATCCTATTCACAATTTTCAAATTTTGAGGAAAAACGCAGAACCAGGAGAATTGTCATGACTATTCCATACGAATTTAAAATTGAGCCGTTAGCTTCTTTATAGCCTTACAAGCAATT